TCTCTCTCTCTCTCTCTCTCTCTCTCTCTCTCTCTCTCTCTCTCTCTCTCTCTCTCTCTCTCTTTTCTATGAACCCATCGAACAAGCGTTCGATCTATTTGAGACTACATGCCGCGGTCGTATTGCTCCACAAACTCGCCAGCATCATGTCCGTACCAGCGTATCTTCCCGTCGGCGAAAGTACGGTATTGACGTAGTCAGGCTTGCGCACTCTCACACGCGTAGGAATGCAGCCAGCCGTCCCTAATCCACGCTCACACACAGAGAGAGAGAGAGAGAGAGAGAGAGAGAGAGAGAGAGAGAGAGAGAGAGAGAGAGAGAGAGAGAGAGAGAGAGAGAGAGAAGCAAGATGTGGAGAGAAACGGAGCACGTGAAGCGCAGCTATGCAGACCCAGAAGAAAAGTAAGGAGGACGGGAGGAAAGAAGCAGTAGGACGAGGACGAGGAGGAGGAGGAGGAGGAGGAGGAGGAGGACGAGGAGGAGGACGAGGAGAAGGCGGATGGGGAGGAGGCGAAGGAGGCAGCGAAGGAGGAGGACTAGGAGGAGGACGAGGAGGAGACGGAAGCGCAGGAGAAGGACTCACCGAAGGAGGAGGAGAAGGAAAATGAGGAGGGGGAAGGGGAGGAAAAGTAGGAGTATGAAAGCGAAGGAGAGAGGAGGCGGAAGGGCAGGACGACTGCCGAAGGTGGAGGAGAGGGGAAAATGAGGACAAAGGGAAGGAAAAGGCGCAGGAGGCAAAGGAGAAGGGAGGAGCAGGTCCCATCGTCGTCGTCGTCGGAGGAGGAAGAAGAAGAAGAAGAGAAGGTAGGGAAGGATGAGGTGACCGCAGGAAAGGAGGAGAAGAAGAGGGAGGAGCAGAAGGGGGAGGATGGGAGGATCACAGAGCAGCACTCTACCGCTCTTCGTACGGAAGGGGCAGTAGAAGTAGCCGTAGTAGCAGTAGTAGTAGTAGTAGTAGTAGTACTAGAATTAGTAGTAGTAGTACTAGAAGTAATGGTACTAGAAGTAGTAGTAGAATTAGTAGTAGTACTAGAATCAGTAGTAGTACTAGAATTAGTAGTAGAAGTACTAGTAGTAGTACTACTAGTAGTAGTAGTAGTAGTAGTAGTAGTAGTAGTAGAAGGAGGAGGAGGAGTGGGGAGTAGGAGGAGGAGTGGGGAGAGGAGGAGGCAGTGAAGGGGGAGAAGCAGTGATCAGCGCCCCAACGCTCTTTGTATTATTACTGTACGACTATTGATCACCCGACGAAGGGGATCGGGACGCAAAGGCATCCTTGAGAGCGGTCGCAGCTGTGAGGTAATTAAGCGTATTGCGCAGAGTGTCCCTTTCCCGCCGAAGTCTCTCTGAAGTGTCCTCCAGCTCGAGCAGCGTCTGTTGCTCTAGCGGTGCGCCTTCAAACGTTGACGCCACCCAAAAAGAAAACGGAGTCGGGAAACTTTTCCTCCTCAGATCTTTCGGAACCTCCGTGTCCGATTTCCCGCTCACCTTGTTCGACATTCTGATGACGTCCTTCATTAATACCTCCACTTCTCCCGCCAAATTATCCAGCTCGTCCTCTGGCATCCGCCCGTCGATCGACGGCACGTCCTCCAGGAAGACCACTTTCCCAACTAGGTAAGGTCTGGTCCGGACCAGGTCGACGACGCGAAACCTCTGCTCGCCCCGACAGATCAAGAAGAACCTGTCGTCTTGAAGGCACTCGTGTCTGACCACCTCCCCCACACAACCTACCGCCGCCGCCGACTCCTCCTCCCCGCCGCCGCCATCTTTTCCCGCGTAAATTACTCCGAACCTCATCTCCTTCGTCTCAAACATCGTCTGTAACATGATTCGGTACCTGTGCTCAAAGATCTGAAGAGGGAGCACTGCCCCCGGGAAAAGCACAAGTGGGAGGGGAAAGAGGGGCAGTTCTACGGGCTCCTGAAAGGGAGGAGGTCGGGACCGGGACGGGGGTGAAGGCGGCAGATCGCTGCCACCGCCAGCATCGCCAGCCGACCTTCGTCTTCCTCCTCCTCCTCCTCCTCCTCCTCCGCCTGCTCGTCCTCCTGCTCTGCAGACAACCTTTCCTCCTCCTCCTCCTCCTCCTCCTCCTCCTCCTCCTCCTCCTTTTTCTCCTCCTCCTCCCACTATTACTACCACTACTCTTGCTCCTACTTGCCCTGCTCCTCTTCCTCGAAAGCTACTCGCGCGTTCATCAAATCGTGGAAGCTTCTGAAGAGCCGCAGCGAAGTTGGGCTGCCACGTGGCACAACCCCGCCCTCCTGGCGTGCCACGTGGCAATAACGATGAAGAGGGGGGCGGTGGCAAGAGAGAATGCTTAGATCCACAGGAAGGGGTAGGAGGGGAGGAGGAGGAGGAGGAGGAAGAGCAGGAGGAGGAGGAGGAGGAGGAGGAGGAGGGGGAACAGCAGGAGGAGGAGGAGGAGAAGGAGGAGGAGGAGGAGGTGGAGAAAGATTGCTGGGGGATCAAGATAGATCGTACAGAGGAGACGCAATGCTTTCCACAAGCGGTAGCAGAAGAGGAAGCGGCTGCACTACAACCACCTGCTGGTAGGCTCATTGCGGTTTTGCTAGGAGGTCCCACGATGCGACACGTGGCAGACGAGACTGTGGTGGCGGGAAACTTGACAGTATCAGAGGGGCAATGGCGGGAAGAAAGACATTTGGCGGCAATACACGCATGATGAGGAGAAATGGCGCGAAGATGGCAGACTTGTCTTCCAGATGGAGATGGTCCCGGGGAAGCAGAACGAGCCACGTGTCTGGTGGACGAAGACGAACAGGAACCAGTTTTGGACTGATGGGGGTGACAGAAATCCTGGGCCGCGTGTCTTCCAGGCGTTGAGTACGGGCGGCACTCCAGAGCCGAAAAGGGTGTGTGCGCAACTCTGGACAACCCTGCCGCACAGCCATGCCGCCCATCCACCTCGTCGAACAACATCCACGTCCCGTTCGGTGTTCTGCAGTCGCTGTCTATTCCCATTTGCCATGGCTGCGCGACAAGACCTGTCGCCATCTCTCTCTCTCTCTCTCTCTCTCTCTCTCTCTCTCTCTCTCTCTCTCTCTCTCTCTCTCTCTGTGCACACCTCCTCCTCCCTCACGCCTCTCTCTCTCTCTCTCTCTCTCTCTCTCTCTCTCTCTCTGTCCCTCCCTCTCTCTCTCTCTCTCTCTCTCTCTCTCTCTCTCTCTCTCTCTCTCTCTCTCTCTCTCTCTCTCTCTCTGCATCTCCTCTCTCTCTCTCTCTCTCTCTCTCTCTCTCTCTCTGTGCACCTCTCTCTCTCTCTCTCTCTCTCGCGGTGGTGTGTGTGTGCCCTGGCTTGCGAGTACCCTGCACGCCTATGCTCGACTCTGGACGGCCCTGATCGGACGAAAACCGACAAAGGGGAACGTCCGAGAAAAACTTAATTGCGCGTAGAGAAGGGAGTTTATAATGCTGATTGATCGGCTGTGATATTTTCGTCACAAGAAAACACTCGGGGTAGAAAAAATACGGCAAACGAGACCAGAGAATCTGTGGTCCCTGGGACCACAGAATCCCTGGTCCCCGGAAGCATAGAATCCTGGTCCCTTGAAACAGAGAACCCCTGGTCAATTCTGATCTTGGCAGGTGGGAGGTGGGAGGTGGGAGGTGGGAGGTGCTACCTTCTCGAAGTGCAACAGTCATGGCCACCTATTTCCCAACTTACTTCCTAACTTTTTTTTTTCTTTTTTTTTTTTAATTTGGACCATTTCTCGATTTATGCGTGTCATCCTTGCGCAGGGACCATTTCTCGATTAGCATGGCCCCTTCCTACCTTTCAAAAGTGCCCGCTCTGCCAACTCTCACTACCGGTAGCACTTATAATGGCAAATTCGCAAATCGGCGTGAGTTTTTGGGTCACACGGGGTCCATATTTTGCAATTTACGTAAATGTCAGCTGCCTGGGGAGGGGGGGGTCTATATTTTGTGGGGACCCCTACAGGTCCCTGCAATTGCAGATTTCTTTTCTCATTTCTTTCCTTCTGGTTTCACCGTAAAATGGGCCTCGCCACACTACTTTTCAGGCGCTGATCCGACAGTACTTCAAACCTAAGAGAACCTAAAAGAAACTGGAAAGTCGGGGCCGGATTGTTAGGGTCGTGATACAAAAACGGGACCCGACAATGCCATCGAAAAAGCAGCTCTCACGACAGTACCGCCGCTTTTATGTGGGCGCCTGCGGTTCCAGAGAAAAGAGAGACAGTCCGTATGGTCCAGCGAACGGCCTTTGAGCG